GTGTGTGTGTGTGTGTGTGCGTGCGTGCGTGCGTGCGTGTGTGTGTGTGTGTGTGTGTGTGTGTGTGTGTGTGTGTGCACGCGTTCATCATGTTTGGCATTTCCACTTTCATTCGCCAATGCTTCACATTTGATTTATTCCAACCAGACGCAAACAGAGAGCAGACTGCCACGAGGCCACGTCTTGGTGTGTGTTTACAGCAACGTGCTCACGATTTCAGCAGCATTTCTTCTGCGCGACAAATCAAAGCTGCTCCTCAAGGATGCTGAGAGACACACTGTAAACTACATGGTGTACTGAGCATCCACCCTTACTCAGCAGCAGCTCATCTCTCTCTCTCTCTCTCTCTCTCTCTCTCTCTCTCTCTCTCTCTCTCTCTCTCTCTCTCTCTCTCTCTCTCTCTCTCTCTCTCTCTCCTCTCTCTCTCTCTCTCTCTCTCTCTCACACACACACACACACACACACACACACACACACACACACACTCTCTCTCTCTCTCTCTCTCTCTCTCTCTCTCACACACACACACACACACACACACACACACACACACACACACACACACACACACATACACACACACACACACATACACACACACACACACACACACACACACACTTCTAATGCACATTAGGCTTGGGCAGTATCAGGATTTTAATACTGCCTAGCTTCCTCCACATTTAACCAAGGTACATGGCCTGTATTTGTTAGCACCTTCTAGAGTCCTTGAACCACCCCCCCAGGGTGCTTTACAACAAAATCAGTCTTTCACCCATTCACACCCTGGTGGTGATGAGCTACAGTGTAGCTACAGCTGCCCTTGGGTGCACTGACAGAGGCGAGTCTGCCGTACACTGGTGCCTCCAGTACCTCTGAACACCATCAGCAGGCAAGGTGACTTAAGTGTCTTGCCCAATGACTCAACGACAGCAACAGATTGAGCGGGGCTCGAACCTGCAACCTTCCGATTACGGGGAGAGCATTTAACTCCTATGCTACCGTCACCCTATGGCAATGGTGTACGGCATTACCGGGACTAATTTAAAAATGATGGCATTAGTGGAACTGCCAAGCTGTTGGTTTGGATCTTCACCATTCAGAGTGGATATCCAACAGTCTTACTAACACAATAACACCACCACACAAATCACATTAACACCTTTAAAAATATGCAGCTTATAAAAGATTTTTCGCCTGAAGAACCATTACGGATGCACGTTTTCCAAAATGTCTTTAACTGGTTATTTAACACTCCTAGACGGTTCTTCTTCCAGCTCTTGGAGAGTACAGACAAGTTTTTCCTCCTCTCCTCCCTATCTTATCCCAAAGCTCTTTGTCTGTCTTTGGGTGTACGGCGCTTCTGATTTTCTCTGGAAACTGGAAATTATTAAAAATGGACCTGGTCAGTTGGTCCCTCAACGCGATTGACAACATTTTTTCAACGATGAGAACGGGAGAAGGGGCTCCCAGATGCCCCTCTGGGACAGAGTCAGTTGGACATATCATGGACTCCTGGAAACAGTGGAACCTGATCTGCCTCTCCCAACTGTCTGTAGAGGATTCTGAAGATGTCTGGATATTCGTGGTGTTGGTATCAGGTTTCTTGCTGTTTGGTCTGAGCGGTTACCTGGCTTACCGGAAAATTAATGAGCTATTGAGGAATATTGGCTCAATCCTGGAGCTCATGGATGGATTATACCACACTGTGAACACACAAACTCATATAATTGTCAAGATGAGTCGTAAGCTTGGGACTTTGGCTGAGATTCAGGCTCTGGCACAGAGGGTGGATTCGATCAAAGAGCGAGTTGACGGATCAGCACGGGTGGGAATAGATTAATTTACGCCATTATTGGATCGAGAGGGGTTGGAGATCAACAGAACTTTAAGAAAGAGAGGAAATTATCTCTGTCTGGCCCAAAACAAGTTCTTATCTGAATCTGGTGCCCTTGAGCCTGTGAAGCTGAAGTCCGCCCCCTCAGAAGAAATGTGGAATGCTGCCGTCGCCATGGCAACTCGGTCTCCCTATCCCAGCCTGGGCGGAACTGTGACCGGTGAAGGTCGTGTAACCGTTTCCAGGAGTCACTGTGCTTTCTAACCCAGTTTCCTCCCTCCCCTGTCCCAACGGAGGTGACGCGCGCTGCTCATTGCGGCTGCATGCACTGATGTGAGAATTGTCCCCAACCCTACCTCCCCACCTAGTGGACACTTATGTTGTGTGACGTCTGAAGTCTGTTGCATTTCTGTCTGAGGCGTTTTTTGCATAGCAAAGCTGCTCTCCCTGTGGAGGGTAACTCTGGTACTTTTTTTTCCTCCACCTGACTCAATCCTTATATAAACCCTCTGATCTCTATTAAGGTAGCGCAACTCGGGTTGTGAATGACCACAGTCACCAATTCTTGTCATGTGTCTATGTCTATGTATGTATGTGTGATCTCAGAATTGTGTGTACTGAAACTCTAGTTTCCCTCTGGGATTAATAAAGTATCTTTGAATTGAATTGAATTTGAATAGCTGGTTAACCGGAAACCAACCAACACTCCAAGTGATGACATGTTCATAAACTTTATGGAATGTCTCTAAATGTTGGACACAACATTTTAAACTATTTAAGTAAAACTGAAAACTCAGCCACACATCTGTGTTATACATGAAATGACCTTTATTTATCTTTTGAATACATTTTTATTTTTTATAACATAATGGAACTGACACGTTGCTACTTTTTAACAGCGGCTGTGTACGGTAATACCGCCCAGGCCTAATGCGCTTGCAGAGCTGCAACCACTGGAGACCAGATTGGCCTCCTCTCTGTAGAGAAGCAGCAGCTGATAGATTAGCCAGAACAAATTGGAACCATTACTCTCCTGTGTCGCTGGTTCCTGTCAGGCAGTGAATTTGTAGAAATGTTGTCAGATACTGTATACAAGCATTTGCCCCCTCAGAACCATTCAGAACCTCTTTAATTTGAGTCAGATGGTATCTGAGGTGCATGCCATTGGCCCTTTGGAGTATGGGACTTGGTGTTGCTGTGGATTCCTGCAGATAGCCCTTCAGTCTTATCAGCCCCTTCAAACATGAATGCCCTTCACACATGAGCTCTGTGTAATTGGACACATTGCCACCTGTGTCTGACACAGGCTTTGCTGGCAAATGTCAAGCGTGGAGTCGGCTGGAGAAATCAAAGGTGCAGTGGGAATGAAAACAGTGTTAGTGTAGGGGACACACACACACACACACGCACACGCACGCACCAGGTTCAGTGTGAGGGCGGCGTCATGCATGACCTCGCTAAAAGGCAAAGTAACCTGGGTAACGAGCATATTTGGTATCCCTCAACAAGTTTGTGTGTGTGTGTGTGTGTGTTTCTTTTCTAAAAAAGTTGTAAAAGATTAATCTGCTGGTGTTGCTCCACAGCCCCCTCAGTCATTTTATTATTGGGGGTGGGGGGGGGGTTGGGGGAGACAAACACTGTGGCCCATTTCATTTCCACACCGCTGCAGGATGCACGACTCCAACCTAATATCTGGATTTTAAGCCAGGTTTAACCAAAATCTAATCCAGATTTAACAGAGCAGCACTAAATCCTAAAACCTAAACGGTGAAAGGCTGTACCTGCCTCCGTGCTCATCAGCTAATGAAGCCGTGCGGTGTGTTTACATGGAACTTGTAAAATGAGGTAAATAAACATGTTGCATTTGAACAAGTATCCTAAAAGATGAGGGGAATTTAAACAACAGCATGGATCCGGACTGTGTTGAAAGGTAGTGAATTGCAGATGGGTCAAACAGCTGATGAATCATTTACCGACGCTCCTTAGCTGGTTGGTTTTGGGAAAAGGCAGAAAGGATCTAATCAGAACCAAGCAGCCAAGGCTCCGTCCTCGGCACTGGCCCTGACCGGGACCGCAACATCTTTTTGTGGTTACAGAGGGGTTGATTAGGGGCAGCTTGAGGAAAAGTAGGAGTTAAAACGTGCTGTGAAGGATGGAAGAAGCAGAAAATTCTATTCATTTTTACTTCAGGTGGAGGGAAACTCACTTCTGCTAACTTCCCTAGCCCTGTTTGAAACCATAAGCTGCAGAGTGTGTGTGTGTGTGTGTGTGTGTGTGTGTGTGTGTGTGTTTGTGTGTTGTTCCCTGCCATAGTTTGCAGTTCTCTCACACATCCTACCTTCTAAACCTTTAAATCCTATGAACATCAGTGTCTCGATGTCATAAAAAACAGCTGCTTCCCTCTCCCATCATCATCATGACCAAGTGGAAAAACGGGATAATGGCAGTGTTGTAAAACGGCCCTGAGTTCATTCATGTGTCTCTATAAAATCCAGTCAAGTGTTTGAAGGCTGCAGAGTGGTGGAGAGCCGTGGATCTGCAGGGAGCAGCCTCTGATTTATGAAGCTGGCACGAAACCGATATTTTCTTCTGCAGAGTCACGTTAGGATGTCACAGTCAGACAACCAGAAACTGTGTTTATGGGATTGAGACTGGGCCTCCCAGTTCATCTCATGCAAAGTCTGTGATTAGAAAAGAGAGAAGAGCTCAAGAGTTTGATTTACAAGACCCAGAATCCTCCAGTTTCCCATGGACTTCCAAGCTGGAGATGCTCAGAAACACTGATGAAGCCTTCCGTGTCTTTAAACCCCAGATGGACCGGGATCAGTTTATTGAGGGTTTCCACATTTGAAGGCAGATCCCAGCCAATAGTGAGTTTATCCGATTTGTGTAGTTTGACACAGATGAAAAGGCTTGAGTTAACAGAAAAGCATTAAAGGAAGCGTATCGAGGTTGAGGGTTTAACTACAGCAGAGTCAAAGACCAAAGAGTGTGTTTCTGTAAGAGAGCATGTTTATTACCTGCCTTGCTCCCTCGGTTTCCTTCTGGGACGTCTCTAACACTCACCACTTCATAAACATAAGTCCCCACCAGTACTCGTTTACACAGGAACCCTTTTTATTGTTTTCTGATTTTAATCTTGTTTGTGTTTCTTTATCCACAGCTGACCTGAACGTAGAGTTATGTCGCCCTCTGAAAATCAACCCCACCTTGGCCAAGCTGGAGCAGGCCAAAGCCTACCTGCAGAAAGTCCTGCCAGCCTCCACCTGTAGTAAACCACCGTCTGCTCCTTCCTCTCCTCGCTCGTCTCCTAAAAAGGCTCCTCACAGGGCCTTTCCCCCTCGCTCAGACTCACGCCATGAGGCTCTGACCCGGGGTAAAGCCAGCTCTGCCACGGCCATGGCGCTGTCCTTCCACAAGGTCACCCTCCACACTGCTCAGACTGTGGTTGTCATGGAGACAGAAGCCCATCCAGCGAAGCCCAGTGTTACTGTATCGGTGTCGGCCATGACGGGAAGTCTCAACCTAAAATGTGGGCCCAGAATAGAAGGTTAGTTAAGTAGAAGCGTCTCTATTTTCATCAACAAGGTTTAATTTTTAATATAATATAAAACTCACTTTTTATGCTTCGTTATTATTTTTTTATTGGACACTTTTTAGCAGAACCACATTGTTTACTCTGCTGTAGCTTCTGGAGGCTAACAAGCTAAGTGTCGCTGAGTGCCAGCACATGACCCAGACATGGTGCAGGCTGCTGCTGGACCACCATAAACACAACTTAAATATTGTTTAAGCTCCAGTTAGTGTGAATCCTCTACACATTCAGTGTGAAGAAGACGTTAGAGCACGCTTTACGCGGTCCAGACAAGAAATGGAGACGTATCATGGTTTCACGTCATACTTCCTGTTCTGTTCATGGATGGTATTATACATAACACCTGTCTTTACTCGATAAGAAATCTTTCTGTCTGTAATTCTAGCTGAAAAAGCAGAGATGCCTTCAGTGTGAGTGTTGTTGTTACACGTGCTCCTGAAACCAGAAACAAGGCCGGGGAGTAAACAGAGATGTTTGTGTTGGATCCTCAGCTGCTTTGGGAGTGTGTGTCTCTGATTACATAGCTATGAGAGAGTGTGTGTGTGTGTGTGTGTGTTGTTGCGTGCGTGCGTGCGTGCATGCGTGCGTGTGTGTGTGTGTGTGTGTGTGTGTGTGAGAGAGGGAGAGAGAGAGAGAGATGTTTGTTTTTGTGTGAAACCAAGCTTCCACCATTAGTGACTGTTATCAGGAGGCATCACCGTGCTAATGCTAATAAAGAGGCCGCCCGTTTCTCTCTGCTGCTGTCCGCGAGGCGGCGAACTAACAAATCACTGTGGGGTTTCAGTTTGTTGGACATTAGATTAAAACAGAAGCATCAAAGGAAACACTGAGCTGACATGCCACATGTAGAACACAAGAAAGACTCATTATTCTGCAAGTGGATGGTTTATACCTCAGTGCCACTGAGCAAAACATTCTTTGTTGACTTGTGTTGGAGGACAGAGCTGGAACAAGGCTCCCAGAGCACATGCATCTGTTTTACAGATGTTGTTAATATAGGGTTACTCCAGATAAAATGATTGTCAAAAATGTTAATTAAAACCTCAAACACTTTTCAGTTTGTTTACTCAGATCTGCATAACTGCACCGTGACACCATCCTCAGTGTTCTGGTTTCCACCCGCTCCTCAGCTGTCATTCATCTGTGTGTGTGTGAGTGTGTGTGTGTGTGTGTGTGTGTGTGTGTGTGTGTGTGTGTGTGTGTGTGTGTGTGTGTGTGTGCGTGTGTGTGTGTGTGTGTCTTGGTGATTTTTAGGGTTTCTTTGCTCACAGTAATTTTCTGAATGTCTTTGTTTTGTTTACAGTCGGCAGAAGAGCGAGGACTGATTGTCATTGATTAGTCTTTAGATTGTTTTTACTTGTAGCAGCAGATTGAATCAGATCCATGTCTAAAGAGTTCATAACATTTTTACCACATGCAAAGGAGCCGCTGGAGTTTGACATCCACTGGATCAATCACACTAGCTCTAAAACCCAGGAACTATGTTATGGTTGCAGCTCAGGAAAACATAGCTGCTGCAGACCTCTTGTTGATCTTCTCTTGTCATCGTTTAAGAGATGCCAGGGTGTGTTCTTGTATCCATAGTAGTGCTGAGACCATAGCTTCAGTCAGGACGAGCAACGTGTGATGTTGTGGTTCTGGGATGGAGAGCTAGCTAAAGCTGCTTGTCCAGGCAGATTCCACATGGCTGCTATGTTGCATTGTGTTGGACGAGCTCTGGTATTGATTCATCTCTAGATTATCTCTTAAAATACCTGAAAAGTTCCACATTCTCTTCAGCTCCCATTGGACATCCTAACACTTCCCTCTGGAACAAACACTGGTGTCTTGTGAAGCTTGACATGTGGACAGTGAAGAGCTTCAGTGTCCTGTGGAGGAAACCTTGTTGGGATAGTTGTTAAGGTTCCAGCATCAGGATCTTTCCTCTGAAGGACACGTTGGAGTCAGCCAGCTCTGTCCTTGTGGTTATGTTTGATAGCAACACACTGCTGTCCTCCCTCAGGGCTCCTACACACGATGTCTCTGAGTCCACAGCATGGAAAGGAGACAAACTGTCTCTGATTTCTCAGACAGATCTCTGGTGACAGTTGATGCATATGCTGACTTTAAGCCTTAACTGCACCACGTTCATCACTCACCACTGTGTCCTGCAACATTTACCTGGAATGTTTTTGAGAAATGAAGGTCACCATTCCCGTTTGGTAAGGTTGAGCCTTCGAGCTGCTACAATAAGTCAGCTGGAATGACCCCCCTGAGAGAGGCTACACACGAGATGTAAGACAGGACAACTACTGTTGCTGCTGCTGAGACTGATGGAGCCAATCCTGAGTAGACCTTAGGTTCATGTCAGGAAAAAACAGAAGCAGGAAGGAGAGAAAGGAGGGATGCAAAAGAACTCTAAGAGATGTTTAACAACTTGTGCTTTAAAAAAGGGAAGCAGTGGAAATATAAAAGACGAGTAATAAAGGAGAACAGATGGACCAGTGAGAACAAACAACAATCCAAACAGATGAAGGGTAGAGCTGACACAGAGATGGATAGAGTATGAAAGAGAAATGCTGTAATACAGGACAGACGGGGAAACTGAACACTACTGTGTGATCAGTGAGCACAGGCTCTGCTGTAGATGTCATTACAATCACCCCATTCCACCCTTTCTTCATCAGCAAACATCCACAGCCGTCATCCACCCCGCCCTCCCAGTCCGTTAAACATCTGGGACTCTGTACCTGGTCATAGCAGCCCTCAGCCAGGGGACAAGATGGAGAGAGAGGGGATTAGGTTGACAGTGAGGTGTGTTACCAGATCCCGTGTTAATGAAAAGCAAGTGGAAGGCCCACATTCCTCCCTCCATCCGTGGCTCACCACTCCCTAAGGTAGAGGGGCATTCATAGTTCAGTGAGAGAGAGGAGGGGAGCGGGCAGCAGAGAGAGAACAGATGTTCAAGGCTCCATGAAACAGGAGCCCCCCTAATCTGTGTCACTGCTCCTGACTATCCACACACACATACACACACACACACATGTACACACACACGTACACACACATGCACACACACACACATGTACACACACACATGCACACACACACACACATATACACACACACGCACACACACACGCACACACACACGTACACACACATGTACACACACACTTACACATACCCCTACACACACACATACACATACTCCTACACACACACACACACACACACCCCTACAAACACACACACACACACACACACACACACACATACCCCTACAAACACACACACACACACACACACACACACATACCCCTACAAACACACACACACACACACATACCCCTACAAACACACACACACACACCACACACACACACACACACACACATACATATGCACACAGACACACACACGTACATACACACACATATGAGTACACACATACATACACGTACATACACACACACTTACACATACCCCTACACACACACATACACATACTCCTACACACACACACACACACACACACACACACATACATACATACATACATATGCACACAGACACACACACGTACATACACACACATATGAGTACACACACACATACATACACACATACATATGCACACAGACACACACACGTACATACACACACATATGAGTACACACATACATACACGTACATGCACACACACTTACACATACCCCTACACACACACACATACACATACTCCTACACACACACACACACACACACATACACACATACATACATATGCACACAGACACACACACGTACATACACACACATATGAGTACACACACACATACATACATACATACATACATATGCACACAGACACACACACGTACATACACACACATATGAGTACACACACACATACATACATACATACATACATATGCACACAGACACACACACGTACATACACACATATATGAGTACACACATACATACATACATACATACATATGCACACAGACACACACACGTACATACACACACATATGAGTACACACATACATACAGGTACATACACACACACTTACACATACCCCTACACACACACATACACATACTCCTACACACACACACACACACACATACACACACCCCCTACAAACACACACACACACACACACACACACACACACACACACACACACACACACACACACACACACACACACATACCCCTACACACACACACACACACACACACACATACCCCTACAAACACACACACACACACACATACCCCTACAAACACACACACACACATACCCCTACAAACACACACACACACACACACACACACATACCCCTACAAACACACACACACACACACATACATACATACATATGCACACAGACACACACACGTACATACACACACATGAGTACACACATACATACACGTACATACACACACACACATATACACACGTGCACACACACACACACACACACACACAAGTACACACATACACACACGTACATATACACACACACACATATGCACACACATGCACACACACGTGTGCATGCATACACACACATATATACTCACACACACATACACACACGAGTACACACACACACATACATGCGCGTGCACACACACACACACACACACGTGTGGTGACTACCAGGTGCTGCTACTATGACACGCTATCAGGAAACACACATGTGAAGCACTTCCTCGGTTGTTGTTGTTGATGGTGATTTACTTCAGTAGAATGTAAAGAGAAAGTACTTCAGAAAAGTAGAAATACCACAGATACCCAGTACTTCTGCAGTTTAGTGTTTTTTCTGCCTACCTAGACCTGTGACCTGGGATTGCATCACTGTGTTTACTTTGAGGACAAAGTTACTTTTACCACTTTTGTTTTTGTCACAATAAAGAAAATTAGATTTGGATCATTTAAGAGACTAAACTCATC